GCTCTTTGGCATTCAAAACTTTAGAATAACGCGTTCTTCGACAAGGCGTTTGCTAACGATCCTTGAATTAACCGTTTAATGGCGTTTTTATCGAACCCGTTTTCTAACGACATTAAAATAATCGTTGAAACGCGTTTGTTTCATATAAAAACGCGTTTTAACGTGTCGTTTCTAAACGCGTTTACAAAAACAAAGTAATTCGAAGTTATATCGCTTTATCGTTGCTAGAAAACGCGTTCAACGAAAACTCCGAAAAACGGTTAAATGAACGATCGTTAATAACGCGAAGAACGCGGTATTCTGAAGTTTTGAACAACAAAAAGCGTGTTTAAACGGTTCTTTAACGATAGTTCGCTAGCGCGGCCGAAAAACCTTGCTCTTTGTGCCGTTTCTCACGATTTTTTCTTGAATTTGAAATTTTTCGTTATTTCGAACTGCTAAATTCTCATTTTGCTGCTCTCCATTAGTTTGTTGTCAGTTAATGTAATGTCAAGAGGATATGGTCTAATGGAAAAAGTGAAAGAGTGGTTGGAAAAAGTTGATGACTCAAACCTGTGTATCTTCCCTGTGTTTTTATTTCTCAACCGTTGGAGAACGCATTAATTAACATTTTCATTGTCATTCACATTCATCGAAAAACGCGTTCTCTAACGCGCCGTAAAATTCCGAAGAACACCTTTTTAAAGGAATAGATAAAAGAAAAACGCGTTTCAATCACAGAAAAAGTGTTCGTTTTGAAACCTTTAACGCGTTAACAGACTTTAGTCTTAATTTGATAAAACAAGGGTATTTTGTGCAGTTTTTCTCGCGCCTTTGACTGATACGTACTGCAGAATTTTAAATGATAGAGCCGAGAAAAAAGAAACGACATACAAAAAGAAAAAGAAAAACGCGGGCACTTAACAAGTAAATTTTTTCTGAACATATAGATTTGTAGAGCAGACTTTTCTGATCAGCATAAGACATTGCACAACTCTATGTGACCTTGCTTTCAAAAATTACAAGCATTTTCCTAGATGTCCTAAAATACACCAACGTGCACAACGTTTTCTCCTCAAAGCACGTTGTTTGTTCGAACATGCCCAGTGTGGGACACTTTTTTTTAAATATACTTCAAGCTAGAGATCTAAGGTTGGTTTTATTTTAAACAAGACACCAAACTGCGTGGGCTGATGGGAGTCGATTTTTGAAGTAGGTCTTGATGGGTGCGTCAGAATAAATCGGTCACTTACTATTTAGCCCATATGTCACTCATCATTCACTTTATAGAGCTGCGGTTTCTTTTAACGGATGCACAAAATGGTATACTCAATGACCTTTACACTGTTTCAGGTATATTGTCGATAAGAAGAAAAGTAAAGATCTCCAAAACGTCGTACTTTACAAACATCAATCAGGCGATCATCCACGAAAAATATTCCGTGATTTGAATGGTGCTTTATCCTTAGATACTATTCAAAGATGGATAAAAATGATTGAACAAACCGGCTCCATCAATCTATCAAAACCACCAGGTCGTCAACGTACTGCTCGTACAAAAGCAACAATAAGAAAAGTCAAACAGCGAGTGGCTAGAGGGTGTTGGAAAGAAAGTTGGCGCGTGAACTCAACATATCAAACACAAGTGTCTATCGAATCTTGAGATATGATTTAGGGTGTCATGTCTACAAAATTATCAGGGAGCCGGCGATTACTGATGAATAAAAAGCTAACAGAAAAAAATTTGCCACATGGGTTCAACGAACATTCAGAAAAGAAGATCTGAGAAGAGTGTTGTTTTCCGATGAAAAGAATTTCGACATTGATGGTGCCTACAATTCACAAAACGATCAAATTTGAGCCGTAAACCGTGCGGAAGCAAATAAGCAAGGCGGTATCCAGAAAAAGCGAAAGTTCCCAACTAAAGCTATAGTTTGGCTGGGAGCATGTTCACAAGGTCTGACACCGTTGGTGATCTTAGATGAAGGTTCGATTGATTACACCATTTACATTGAAAAAGTACTTCCGGTGACAAAGAAATTCGGCGCCGAGATGTTAGGTGACGATTGGACATTTCAACAGGATAATGCACCTGCACATAAACATCATTTAACGCAAGAATGATGTTGTCAAAATTTACCGTCGTTTATTAGTAAAGAACGTTGGCCTGCTAATAGTCCATACTTTAATCCTTTGGATTATTGCATATGGAACGAATTAGTTCAGGCAATGGACTGGCACAAAGTCACGGCCAAAGTGACCTTGATTACCGAACTAAAACGAGCGGTAAAGAAAGTTAGACTCGAAGTTGTTGTGCAAAGTATGGAAGATTTTAGTAAACGAATGTATCGCACTCTACAGAATGATGGAACTTATTTACATTAAATTCTGACGCACCTGTTAGTTTTCTAGAAAATCAAGGATCTCCGGAAACCAGAACAGATTTTTAAGCGCGGAGAAAAATGAAAGGAAATACAAAACACTGATTTTTGTTAATTTTTCGATAGGTTTTTGTAATGCCCCGGGTAAAAAGTTCATATTTTCATGAGGAAACTTTTTCAAGGTTTAAAAACTTAAACATCTTTGCAGTTTTGTGTGGAGAATCGAATGAATACGATTTGAAAAACAAAACTATCTTTTCTCATGAAAATATGAATTTTTACCCGAAGCATTACAAAAACCTATCAAAAAGTAGAAGAAAATGAACCCTCTTCCGTTTAAAATTCTGCAGTACGTATGAGTCAAAAGAGAGAGAAAACCTGCATAAAACACACGCGTTTTGTCAAATTAAGACTACAGTCTGCTATGTGAAAAATGACAAAATCCCAAAATCCAACTGTATGATCAACTTTGTTGAATAGAAAAGTCCTCCATCTCACTCTTCCTGATCTAGCACAATGGCTATATGACACGAGCACTTTCTATTTTAAAATAAACTACAATAAATTTGCAACATTTTAGCGAAGCCCCGAACTTACATATGATTTCGTTTCAGAAAAATATCAATCATAAGTTGATATGAGGTGCATGTGATCAATTTTGCTGACCATTGAACAGTGCAACGAGAGAGAGTTGAAGATAGAAATAGAAAATGAGAAAGATAGAATATATATTACTGCAGTTGAATACTGGTGGTGAAAGGGGAGGGACCCATGACAGGCGGTGTCATTGTTCTTTACATACTTTTGATAAAGTTGACATGCAAATCCTTTCATTTGGCCATCTTTCTACTAAATATAAAACATAAATCCCTCCTCATAATAGAAGACCATTGCTGCTAGTTTTCTTCTGGGACTACTTCCACGATTTTCGGTCAAAACTTGACTTGAGTAGCTCATCAAATTGAAGATCATGATGGTCTTACATCAGAATGTCAATATGCACACAAAAAAACATCCTGTTGTCGATTGTCAAGCGGTTTGTTAAACTTAGAAACATTACTGACGTACTCGAAAACAAGTTTCCATTTTCTCCAAATCGATGAGAACTACCCAGTACAATGAAAACGACCTTTGTAGTCATCTACGAACGATCGGTTTACGGTCGTATGAATTTGAGTGGATAGCGATCTGAAGATTTTTGCCCCCTAGAGAGCCCTAATAATCATACTTGCGATAAAATGTTCAGTTCTTGCGCTCACCTAAATCAGAAATGACATACGCCGCAAGCTAAAAAAAGTTTCATAATATCTCACTAAACCGACAGACATAAAAGCATATGCAGAATTCTTTCCCGATATTTCCCTAATACTGGACTTAAACACGTCACATCTTCAGTAATAAATCAATTCATCGTTTTACAATGATGAGTTTGAATTCTGATCAATAATTTCATGTTTGCTTTAGAATGGTTAATGTAACATACTGAAAGCTATACATAATTGCATGACCTGTTAAAATATTTGCTTGTATATACTGAATAGTTTATTTATTGTCATTACTTTGAAATAAACTTTTGTTCTTGCATTAGAGCTTTACGAAAATTTAAAAGACAAATCTATACTTTTTCTGTAGATCAGTGGGTTCCCATTTTGCTGATGTTCATTTCTTCAATAAATACGGATGAAAATTTGACAACAAATCATAAGATATATTTTGTGATGATCACGGGTATCGTATTAGTTAAAAGAGGTTGAGTAGTGAAAAGAAAGATTAAGATCCAATTTTAGTTTTCCGTAGGAGTTTTTTTTTTTTAGAGTGCAGCAAATGAACAAACTCCTATACGCGAAATTTTATCTTTCTGAAACGATTTTGTTCGATATGACAGATTTCTTACTAAGATGATATCCTATATTTTATCTGTTTTGGCTAAAGCATTACCTACTAATTACTGTGTTTGTTTTGTCTATAGTGTTTTGATATTCATCCAGATCTGTATTACATTAGAAAATTTGGTGCTTGCTCCGCGCTGAACCAAATTGGATAAAAATTCGGCACCAGGTGCAAAATTTGTCGGTGAATCCGACAACGGGTTCCTTATAATTGCACCTTCACTTCTTTTTTGGTGTCGACATAATCAACGTGGTTTTTGCCTAAATTTTATTTTGCTCATTGGTTGAAAAAAAGGCGCCAATGAGAAAAATAAAATTTAGGCAAAAACCACTTTGATTATGTCGACGCCAAAAAAAGAAGTGAAGATGTAATTATAAGGAATCCGCTGTCGGATTCACCGACATCAGATATTGCTCTCCGACCAAATTTTCTAATGGTTCTTGAAAACCGGGAGCCTATCCGAACTTTTTGATGACGAACTGTTAAATAGCTCTCAGACCATTTATATGAAGCTCCTCTTACGCCCAATGAAGATAATTTCGAGAGCAATATCTGATGAGGCACCCTGTCGAAAGCTTTATCAAAATCGAACAGAACCATGATGGTCGTCGCAAAGGACAGGTAAAAATCAAAAATGAAAGATATGATTTATCAGGAAAAACGTAAAAGGCAACTGCACCACTTCTCTACTTCTCTCTTTTTTTGATCAAAGATCAACAACATCAACACAAGTGAAATGTTTGTTTCAGTTGGTATGATTAATTGGCCCTGACACTCGATGCTGTGAACCATCTCGGCGACAAAAAGATTATGAAATGAATTGTCCACAACAAATAGGTCTGCAACAAAAAGACTTGCGACGAATTGACCGGTCACCAGAAAATACTGCGACTTATTTAGAAACGATCCATCTACTCAGCCATCACGACGTATCTTTCTCTATCAAAAACTGTCTGTTATACTTTCGGTTTAGATATTCACATCAGAGTAAGGCATTCCAAATTCAAATGCAAAGCACTATTTTATTTTGGACTTAAAGATACACCATTCGATGCAGCTTTTCACGCTGATCACGAATATCTCACTTTCAGCCTGCCTTGTGCATGTTTCCTACGAAAAAAATTCAAAATATTAGAGGTTTTTCGATAAACGACAATCTTTCAAAAATCAGACGATTTCAGAAAATTTCATAGTTCGTTAGTGCGAAACTATAAACCATTTTTTGAAAAATACGAGAGAAAACTGTTGCATGCCTACTGCATACAGGGAAGTGTATATCAAGGTTTCAGAGCCTTGAGAAGTGTTCGATCTCTCGTCAAACTTTCGATAACGCAGATTTCGACCTTATTCGCTCGCAAACCTATCTAGCTTTTTCTGTAAAGAAATGGCCATTCGAACCGCCTTGGAAGGTAGATTAAAAGTACGTATCGCTTTTACAAACGTAAGTTTGATGTGTTTAAACAACATTTCAACAAGCTTTGATTTGATTCTGCAATGAATTACTAACATTGTGTACTTGAATGAGATTTCCTTCATCTCCTTTAATATGTTCCAAAACAGATACTATCTAAACAACTTTTTTACATGTTTCTAGTTATTCTTATGCAACTGGCGTTCGAATTGTTGGAGACCACTTTCAGAAAGAATCTTGTTTAACCTGTTCTCTCTTTCTAGATCTGCAAAATTGCTTTTTATATCTCCTGTAACTGTGATATAGAATGGCTCAAAAACTTTACCTCCTGAAGTTCTGAACTCGTTCTAATGTTTGTTGAATTAATAGTAAATTGTTTAATATTAGGTGAAAACAGCCTGAAAACCCGAAATTTCGTGAAACTCGTCTGCCGTTACATTTTTAAGACTTTTTCTAAAGACAAATATTGCCGCGAGACTCAGCCTGATTGAGTACCTATAGTTCATCCGTTTTCAAGACTACCAATAGCCACCGAGTGCCAGTCCTGAGACTCGTAGGAAATCCGATAGAACCCTCGAGCCGAGAAAAATCAAGGTCTCGCTTGACTCCCATTTTGAAGACGAGACCACGGACCGTCAGACAAACATTCGCTTTCGATACAAAACCAAGAATGAGCAAAAAGAAAAACATTTTATGGAAAATTAGATTAACAAATATGGTATGTACGAGCATAAAAAGATTCTTTTCTGAAAATAATCTTTAAGAATTCCAACGCCAGTTACACAAGAATAACTAGGGACATGTAAAGAAGTTTTTTAGATAGTATCTGTTTTGGAACATATTAAAGGAGATTAAGAAAATCTCATTCAAGTTAAGTACACAACGTTAGTAATTCATTGCAGAATCAAATCAAAGCTTGTTGAAATGTTGTTTAAGCACATCAAACCTACATTTGTCAATGTACCTTATAGAAGTTGATAT